TCCAGCTCTGATTGGCAGTGATGGAGACAATGCAGTTGCAAGAACGGTACTTTCCACTCATATCTCAAAATGTTTGATTTGAAAGAGAACTTACTCTAATATTGTTTCTAATTGTCTATTAACACCCCCTGCTCTTTTAGTCCTTTCTATCAGTGGGATGTCTCTGTTTTTTTTGTATGACTCACTCTGTGTTGAGTGTTTCGTCAGGGCGCTTTAGCTGTTTGCCCTACCATGCCTCTCGGCGCATGGAGAGCTGTTTGGAGGCGGAAGCGCCCCAAAGCGCTGCCCGCTTCCTTTTCGGTACCCATGTTAACCAATTGGGCACTGTGGTGATATAAATTATATATTAAACAATATGATTCGGATAAATAAGAAAAATATGCATCCACGGACTGGGCTTACTAGTTTAGTGGTTAACTTACTTTAGCAACTAGTAAAGCTTTCTGTCAATCAGAAAACTCTGTAAATCACAGAGAGTTGAGGCTGAGCTGCTGGAGGACATCAGAGAGAAAATGAGAAAACATTCATAAAATGCTCCAGTTTCACTCAAGCCAAAAATTACATAGTGCAAGAACAGGCATATGCGAATGACAGAGGCACCATTCGCCCTATTACAAGTCAGCATCAAAACGTTTTTAAAGCTGGAATTTTAAGGTAAAAAAAGTTACATAATAGGAGTTTAACATTTTTGTAGAAGAAGTGACGCCACGGTTATTCAGGAACACATATCATAAAGATCAGCTCTGTGTATAATGAGAAAACAGCAGATGGGGCACCCTGGTAGCTCACCTTGTAGAGACGATGTACCAAGGCTGAGTCCTTGCTGCAGCAGCCATGGGTTTGAGTCCAACCTGTGGCACTTTGCTTCATGCCATCTCCTCTCTACCCCTTTCCTGTCTATCTTCAGCTGTCAATAAAGGCAAAAAGACCCAAATATCTATAAATAAAAAAAATAAATATATATATATATATATTAATATATATTATATTATATCTATATATATATATATATATATTCACTGAGAAATGCTTCTGATTCGCTCATTTTGAATAAACAGCAACCAATCGGGAAATACCCGATGACCAATGATGAAACACTCAGTAAATCAGTAAATCATGGTCTATCACGTTTGTAGGGCTTCCCGCTTGCTGCTGTCCAACAAAATAAACAGACCCCTGTAACATCACTGGCCTCCAAGCGGCTTTCTATTATTTACTAACCCTTTTTTCCAGCCCATGTGACATCAAATAAAAAAAAACTGCCAATTGGAAAGAAGTCACTCACCTATTTTTAGCGTGTTTACCCATGTTTATAAAACCCACATATATGTGCTAATTTTGACAATATATACCGAATAATATAGCAATATTAGCGTCAGTCTCCTCACTCAGGAGACAAAGGAGACCAAAAACGGCTGAAAGGAGAGTAAATATTGAACAAATCTGCGAAATGACCAGGACGAGTTCTGCACAGGCCTAGAACTGAGACTTGAATTGGCCTGTACTGGTGTACCTTTTAGACCTGACCCAACCGAACCTGTTTCCAAAAAACAATAAAACCACAATAGTTGTTCATTATAATAACTGCTCAGACACTCTGCCCGTGTGAGCAGTGAATGTGCGTCACAGAATGTCTTGATTTTTATTTTGACACCCATGTTAACGCTTCACTAAAGACTAAAGGAGATATTTTTGGCAAGTGGACACCAGCAAAAATAGACTTGGAAAAGGATCTGCTTATAGTCAAATCAATATTATACCAGCAACATATACAGCAACTGAACACCTCTGGGTTCCATTTCATATTAAAAGTGTTTCTAGATCTCTGTTGTGTACACACTGTATATTATGTGTTGTTTTAACTCTGGACACCAAAGCCGTGAGAGCCACAGCAGTTTAGGGAGGCAGCTGTCACACACATAATTATTTTCAAACAATAGAAGTATTTATGGACAACAATAGGCCATCTCAACCTTTAAGAGCAATTTAACACCAGCAGAATGTCTCTGGCTGACATCCAGCAGCTGATGTACGCAGGGTGTGGTCAGTACTCCTTGACATCACTGGCGGGTGCAGTTACAGCTACGATGGAGCATGCTTCTGACTTCATCGTGCAGTGATGCTGGGTGTGGTCAGACGTGTGACAGATGGGTATTTTGAAACGAGGAGAGCTCGGTGAAACAGGGTTGAGTTACTCCTTAAATTCTGTGCTGCATTCTCACAGTCGGTGCAGCTTGCTTTTCGTGGATTTGTGACCAATTTCAAAAGTTGCAGCTGTGAGTCTTACATCCAAGATTCCCACTTTAACTGTCTCCTTACCTTTTATCTCCTTTTACTCTCACTCTAAATTATGAAAAGACAGGTGCAGTGCAACACTACACACACTTGTGAGGGTTTTTTTGACACCTGTTTTATTATTTCCCCACACATGCCCTTACTTCTGTCAGACTTAGCTAAGGAGATTTCCTTGAAAAAAATATTTCATGTTGCTAATTCCCACAGAAAAATCCCTTCCAATTAGTGAAATGTAAGTCACTGCTCACCATGTCACAACACAGTCTTACATGTGGTGACAGGAAGAACTTAGCGGCTGGCCTGCCACTGTTTTTTTTATCCCCGTCACAGCTGAATTCACGACATCGCTAAGGGGTTGAGGTCTGTGAGCAGAAAAGACTTTCAGTGAAAGGACTGTACGGTCCCATGCCATATTCACTGCACACTGCACTCTATAATTGAAATCACCACATCCCTGCTGTGTTTCCAAGTGAGGAGGAAATAAAAGGAATATATAACACAAAATAGAAAATCAAAATACATTCCTTGGTATTCCAATTGAGTGGACGACATAACACAAAATTAAGTCATGTGGCAAGAAAGGCCTTCAGTGGGATATTGCTCCGCAGAGAGTAGAAAGCTCACACATCAGTGCTTTCAAAAGACCTGTGAAAAGAATTGCGAGACACATGCTTGTTTGTGTTGCGGCAGCAAAATGAATGTTAAAGATTTATGGCTTCCAAAATGGATTTCCTCTGTCATGTGTCTTGACATTATCAGGAAGCTGCACAGGATGCTGCTTTTACCAACAGCTCACACAGGACAAAAAAAATCTGATTTGCTCTTGTTATCAGATATTCCAAGCCTAACGTGTCAGACCGGCACTTGAACAAGTAGCTCTCCACATGAACAGTATATGGGTAAAGTAATATTGTGGCTATAAAAAAACAAATATTATGAGCTGAAAATACCGTTTAAACGACAAGCACAAGCTGTCAGTGTGAGGATTCATGACGCAATAATGTTTCATACATACAGCTACTTGCTCTAACACAGAGAGCTGGATGAAACAATGAATGTTTATTAGATCGCACTGGTTGCATTCTACAAATGGGTCATCTGCATTTAAACGTCACATAACACTTGTTGGTGGGTTACAAATCCACCAGTAAGAGGTAACTATTAAAAATTTCAAACATTAATACCCGGATTCCTTTAACTTGCCTTCCAGGTTCATGCGTGCCAAGCTGTCTTATTTATTATGCTTCATTACTGTTCACACAAGAGGCAAGAGGACAACACTTTACTGGCCAATATGTTTAAGCATGCAAGGGATTTGACTGAGGTTTCCAGCAGCACTCAGTGAGATAACAAATTGACTTGGCCCAATAGTGCAAAACAATAAAACACAGCCAGCTAGTGCGAGTGTATGTGTTGCCACCTGTTTTTGTCATCTAGATGGGACACATTTGAAAGTGATGGATGTCAAGGACCTGGGTGTCAGACAGGAGTGGGCTTTTTTCGGTTTCTCTCTGCAAAATGTCTGCACTAAGGCCCGGTCACACTAGCTGCACAGCTAATTCATCCTCCTGCTGAGATACAGACTATTCAAAGGGCAAGTACTGTAGCTGGCGAGCTAACTGCTAAGATGCTAGCCAGCCAGGAACAAGTTTACACTAGTCAGTCCCAATAGCTCCCTGAGCTTCTTTCTCTTTTCACGCTACTGTGCCGTTTACTCCTCCATGGCATTTTGTTATTTTACATTTTTTCATTCAATAATGAGTCATTGAAGAGGGGGAAAAAGCCATCCGTGGCAAAAAAGAGCCGAATGTTAGCTAGCCATCTTGACTAACTGCCACTTAATAAGTTCAGGAGACTTATTTGTTCTGTCAACTCTCGTCTAATGACAAAACACGCCTGTTTTGAGGAGAATTTATACTCTGACAGAAGAGGTCATATAAAGCTGAATCGGGCAACGCTGCTTGTAAGCTACAATAGCCTCTTCCATTTGGGACTGTAGTGCTGTCAATCCATCAACTGTGCAAATTCTAAAGAAAAAAAGATTTCTTTCTGGGGAAGAAATGTTGCCACTTCAAATACAGGTGTGATCAGACCTTTATATGTCAGCCCTGAGTGGTTACAGCTGGATTATCCCATAAAATACAACTTCCCAACAGACCTCTCTTACACTGGACATGTTGACATGTCAAACACAGGTAATAACATTAATAATGGGTCAATTCCACTCTGGGGTGCCAGTTCACCAGCTCTGTGTGAGTGCTGCCTCACTGGCTTTGCTTACTGACAGATCTTAATAGAATGGTTACTAATATTAGTTACTTCTGTGCCTTTCCTGTTATGATGGTTAAAGTGTCGATATATATATACGTGTACAGGGAGAAAAAAAATGATTTTTTGTATTCTTGAAGAAGAAAGTAAATGAGGGCTAAGACTGACATGTATGATAATATTATAATAATAATATTTCAAAATTATTTATTAATCCACTGTTAATAGCAGGATGCATTTAGTGGCACAAGTGGGGGGGAAAATAAGGTATCATTTATCTAAATATAATACAGCCATACTTAAACAAGTAACATGTAATATGTGCTTCTGTGGTCTTAATGTTTTTGATGGTCTTAGAGAGAATTGTACCACAGTACTATTTGTGCAGTATATTATGTGAAAATAGAAATGTTGATGTATCAATTCTCTTTCAACAGTCAAAAAGCTACATGTGCAGCAGCCAGGGGAATGTACTGTGCTTCACTATAGATTTTGGATCAGGCTTCACCTGCTCAGAAGGCACTTCAAAGGTGAAGTATAACTGAGTTCATAATTGTTGCCAACTTCTTGGTTCTGCTGTTCTTCTGTTAATAGCTCATGGGACTGCAGTTTGACATCTGTATTTTCTGTATTGATACACTACATACTTCAGATTATTTTGGCAACATTGCTACGTTTTTAGTGGATACATTTTAAGTTCACTGAATCACTGCAAGAATGGTACGGCACTGATTTTCAAAGTGCTAATGTTCTTTTGGTATAAGTTATACATTTCCTCAAAGTACTATTGCACAAAAATTTCAGGTCTTGATCATGCAGGCCTCTCTGTAGTCAGGCATGGTAATTAAATGTTGTGCTCATTATTGAAATCCCTGTGCTGCTGAATTTGTAATCCCTTTCCTTGTAGACCGTACTGTGGCGATATAAGTTCTCTCAACTTAAAGGCTCCTCAGATGATGGGAAAACCAGGGTAAAACTCCTTTTCAAGAATGCTGAAAGCAAACAAATAGAAATGAAGGTAATGATATAGGTTTTTTTTTTAACATCACAATGAATTATTATGGGTTATTTTTCCACAGTTATTACTGGTGTAGCTGTGTTTCCATCCATGTGTATCAAACATCTTACCAAAATTTTAAGTTAATTGGCTAATGAAAATAAAAAATAAATGTTTCCATACACTACCTTTATGCGATTATTAGGAGTTGGATTTCTCAAGTCAAAATAGAATAGATAGAAACGACCCATTCTAAGGTAACAAAACAACAACGAATCCTATATTCAGGTGATTATACACTAATGAAAACATGAATATGATATTCCATTTCTGCCAGTAGACGCTCCTAAGTGTTACACACTGGACCTTTTTAAATTTTCACTCCGCCAGAACTTATTTGGAAAAAAGTTTCTATCTCCTATTAAGGGCATAAACTCTTTTCAAAAAAGGCTAAAGCCACCTCAAGCGAGCGTAATTTTTCTTTACGGATTGGATTTTTTCAATTATTTTTTTACATTATGTAATGCAATACTTCAAAATGTACATGAAATACTTTAATGGAAACATGGCTACGGATACCAGTGAAACTGTGACCGAACGTCTGGTGACAAGTGTTACATTTCTTTTTTAACTAAGAACGTGATGTACTGATTGATGCGTCTCTCTCTCCTTGTCTTGTGTGTTTCAGGAACTAGAGTTTGCTAATCTAACAGCCGTCCTCCACTGTATACATTCTTTTATCGCTGCCAAAGTGGCCTCCATGGACCCTCTCTTTATGTGCAGTCAAAGCTTCCCTGGAAATTACATGAACAGTTAAGAAGACACGTCCTCATTGTATGTGCACAACCTGTGGCAAATCCATATTTTATGCACAGAGCCAATTAAGTATATCTTGTTCTTGCTATTTTTGTATGAACTACTGAAAAATGAATATTTGTAAAAGACTGTAGAGGTAGATAATGTATGAATTAACTGTGGAAGGAAGATGTAATTTCATTTTTGACAAGTACAGAAAAACACAATCCAAAGGGATTCACAGTTCTTCCATTTCATTGATATTTTTTCTGTCACTACATAATGGACACTGATTCTGAACGGAGGTTATTTGTCTATTGTCACATTGAAAGGCGACAACCGGGCTACCATATGGTGTGTAACTGCCAAACATTGACACGGATTGCCAAATATAGCAACTGCCACTGCGTTAAGCAGAAAATCTCAGCAGATACTGTATCTATGAAGAGATATGATGCTGTACCTACATCTAGAGAGTAAGTTCATTTTAAATGACAACATGAATCTAATGCTGGCTTACTGTCATGGGGGAATTCACATTTGCCACAGAACTTTGACAATGATTTTCTTTCTTTCAAATCCACAGTTGAACAGTAATGAAAAAGGTAACCTTTCTCTGTTCCCAGTTCTTCTGGTTTACTTTGTGTTTTTGTCATGTCTGTGAAATGGGAGGTGGATGACACAAACACCTTACAATATAATACAGTCTAATAAGCCTCCAAATAACCACTGAACTGAATCAACACATCTCAGATATGGTCCCAACGAAAATTAAATATTAGCCCCACAATAGCAGCATTTACTGCATGGCTACTGTATTGGCTTTGATTAAATTGTATGATGTTTGTGTTATTGCATCTATCCTTTGTATCTGATAAACACAAAAGGCAAATGAGGACACTGCACTGAAATGTGACATTTCCGTTCAAGTAAGACTTTCTTTTATCAACTCCTGTTCTATTACAGTCAGAAATACTGTATGTCTTCAGTTGCTTCATGTAACGGTTTCCGTGTGAAAATGCATATTTGCTGTGTTTTCAATAAACTGCTCATAAAGCACAATTGCCTACCATGAGAGACATGTCTGAGCTCCCTGTGGGTTTGTATGTCTACTTTAAAAATGGAACTGCTTATCTCCTGCTTAGCTCCATCTCTGTAGCGTTTTTGACTTAAATATAAGTTGACATCCTTTTAACAAAGGACTTTTGTTCGCCTGAGGTTGTCGGATTTTTCTGGAGGAGCTTGTCCCAGTCATTATGTGTTATTTGGTATAAAATTAGCTGAGCCGCAGTGTAACAGCAGCCATTTTGACATTAAATAGTAGTGTAAACAGGTGTTACAAGTGACACTAAAGGTTCCATTTCATTTAGTGTAGCAGAGCCTTTCCAGTGAGCCAGCATGCAACATCAGCACCCTGACCCGAATGGAACATAAACTTAATATCATTAGCAGTGTGTCTTTACCTACTATTTCATGTCAAAATGTCTGCTGTGAAAAAGGTCTATGAAGTGCTTCTTCTTTTCCAGATTTTATACGTGGTACAGAGCAGTAGCTTTACTTTGAAGGAAAAGTGTGACATTTTTGAATAATATGCTAATTAGTTATTAGAATTATTTAATTTTACACAGGTTTATCTACTGGACTATTTTATGACTCTATGGTTGCCTGGCAACCTTAGAGTCTACACAACCTAACTTTACTCTGGACAAATGTCAAGCTATTCCTTTGGCATGATTTAATGTAGATAAATCTAGAGTACTTGATTGGAAACGTGGTAGTCAATGTCAGGGCACATTGATCTTAAAGTATAATTTATTTATTAATCCCTTTACCTCTTACTTTGAATTGGAATATTTAACTTCTAGTGCACCTTGACGACTATGATCCTTCACTGGCTTCCCACTGCTGAGTGATGATAAGTTGTGTTTTTGGTGAACACCCGGCCAATGTGGAGGTCCTCCTGCTGTGATTTTTAACCTACAAGCATCATTATCTTTGTATATTTGCACATTGGGCAGATCAGAACACTGGCTACAGTATCAGCAAGGAACAGTATCAAACAATTCTGCATTATGTGAAATGATAATAGCAACAGTTTAAAGAGTTGAGAAACTGTGTCATCGTCAGTGGTGTTTCATTGCCATGTCGCACATAAAAGGATGAGCTAAGAGGTTACTTAAGGTTTGATCATAACACTGGTTCAGTTTTGATCAAACCTGTCTGATCAGAATCAGAATCAGAAATACTTTAATAATCCCAGGGGGAAATTATTTTTGTTGTATATCTGGAGTTTGTAACAAAAATAATTTCCCACTCACCTCTTTTTTCATACTAAGGCATTTTATTCTAGATTGTTGTGATGCACTAATGACACTGGTGTGGCAACCCAGAGAATCAGTATTTGGTATTTGGACAATAATGCAGGGCAATGGTTGTCAGTTATCATTTGGTGTAGAGGTACCTGCCCTACTGGCTACTACTGTACCTTCACCTCCTTGGTTGTTTATCCATTGTGTGGGCAAAAAGTTATTTATCTGTGGTAAGTAAGAGTTGTGGAGGGTTATTTGGTACAATCTACAAGCTTATCACTTAACTGAACTCGACATGATCCTTCTTTTGACTTGACTTAATTAAAGGTTATAAAAAATAAACCTCTATGTTGAACATTCAGTTGTCCAAACATGTTTCTAATTTTAAAACACAACACCTGGATGCCTCATGTACCATGATGCAGGAGAAAAACTCCACCGCCATAGTTTGGAGCTTCATATATGTTTGTGGCCAAGAGTCTGATTTCAAAGTTTGTCTACAATTATCATTACTAAGGTCATGATTTCTACTTCCAGAAGCACAGCCCCAACACAGCACTGCACCCCCCAGTTTATATGCACATTTTACTGTTCGTATGTGTTCTTACGTTTTCCGGCTACATGATTGTTTATGCTATTTCAAGGCTTTCTTCACAATGTGATTCCCTGTGTTGTAATTTATTTTTCTGCCCAAATGGAGTCATTCAAATCTGTTTTTAAAGTATATAATTGGAAAATGTACAATGTGTTATTCAACTGTAGAAAGCAAAGTCATCCTCAGGCTGTTTTAAAACCCTTAAATTGCTAACAATACTGAGCATAGGAACTTGGTCCTCAATGGTAGCTACGGCCCTGCCTGGCAAATGTTACATCAGTCATACTCGCATGTGTTACACAGTGCACCTTAATTTATCCTGAAGGGTTGAGGCTCATCACTGTGATAAATTACACTATTAAGCAGCTCATTATTATTATATTGACACCTTCATTTAATTTATAAAGTGGTTTTCATAACAAATTAATTTCTTTGTGCATAAGAAATACACTGAAATCTGTTATACGTTAAATTCTGTGTTGTTATGGTGTCATGAGATGTTCTATTATTAAAGAGAACTGCATGAAAAATGTAATTTCACTGACATTCTGTAACCTGTAGCCATGCTAAGCAGAATATAAATTTTCTGTAAGTTTCAGCTTTGACAGACACCATCTTGTAGGGATTTTTTAAAAACAACATCAAGCAACGTAAAGGTAAAAAGAGGCCAGAGACTAGTTGCTTATTGCTGTTCCATTATTCTTAAACTCTACTAAAGGAGGCAACTTAGAAATCTAAAAAGTCTTGGCATAAAAGCAACAGCAGTCAGAGAGAGACTGTCACCTAAACTGACTTATGGACATTTAATGGGATATTTAAAATGACAACACAACAGCCTTCAGTGGCAGAAATTAGCATAGTGGGATGAACAACTGAAAAACTACATTGGATTGTACTATATCGCACAGGTGTCAGTTATTTTGTCTATTCTGTATGTGGAACAATAATCAGGCAAACTATTAGTATTTCATAATGGTCTGCCTGATACCACATTGAGAAAAAAAAAAAATTCAGATATATGCCATAAGTTTTTCTTTGGATGTCACTTACTTCATTCTTTACAAACTCTGAAGTTCATTTGTTGAGAAGTTTTGACTGAAACAGTTTTGCGTTGAAGCTAAAACAGGCACCGTGACAACAAGAGTGCAACTGAGATGATCTTTGGCCCGCTGCTGAAGTCAGTGCCGGCTGCTGCCACACAGACAGCATCATGAAGTTGCATCAGTACCATGTCAAGCATGAATTTCAAGTACACTGCTCAACTATCAATGGGCCGTGACTCTCACAGTTGACTCCACTGGCGCCGTTGGACCCTGAATGCTAACTGAAGTATTTGTGATGAGGAGAAGTTTCCAGGGCAACTCCAGGACACTGGCCTCTGCCTTTCTCACTGTTAGTAATCTCTACAGTCTGCATCTAAAACTTTATAAAATAGGTTTGGGAGGATGGAGGCATGGTGAAGGAAGCAGGACCCGTGAGCCCACTAAAAGACTGCAATGCAAAGTCCAATGGAAAGATTGTGACAAGTTCTCTCCAATAAATGGTAACACTCATAAGTCTAATTTTCAAAGTGAAGTTTAGGCAAAGACCACAGTTATACTGGGGTACAATTTTTTGACTGCATGTTAGATTTTTAATTAATTTAATTAACGGTGTGACTGTATGCTTTATTAAACAAATTGCCACCACAGTACCATGCTACTGGAACCCTTTTAACAAAGTAGGATCTTGTCTTTCTGTAAGGTTTTATTCAAGTCATCCATGAATGGTCTCAACGCAACCGTCACACAGTCTCATATGTGAAAGTCCGAAAGAGCCTTGATTGGCAGAAGCAGTATGGTTTTATCCCTGTTTGAGCGTCACTCTAACACAGTTACACATTCCTAAGTTCTGGGACAGTAAACAGACAGTGTGGTGAGATGATGGAGGTCCTTGGCTTCTTTGTGAAGTCTCAACATCCCACTGTTTACTTGGACATAGAGTGTAGATAGAAACAGGGCTGAAGGTTATATGCATATAATAGCCTCTTTAACAGTTGCATATCATTTAACAATGACCAGGTCAAAGGGTTGTATAGGTTCTTAAAAATTGCCATTACATTCCTCCCTTTGAGCATTTTAATGCTTGATGCAGCTGTCTACCCAGACACGCTGCCTCAGGTTTGGTTGGACTAACAGGGATGCTGGTAGCACCTCCCTTTTTGCCCTATTATTTGGCTTTCCGATTTTAATGCCCGCTTGATGTTGATCTCGGTTCTGGGAGTCTGCAGTGGCTGCTATGGATCCAAGTTGCTCTCCCAGGGACTTTTACTGCTGTTTCCATTGTGAGGAGTAACTTGATCACAATCCCATCGCCTGGTGTTGGTCGTATAGTTTTCCTCTGCAGCTTTTGGTATGGCTTCTTTCACCTGCTTGCGGATATAAGCACAGGGGACATGTTTGCACAATAACACAGCATTTCATCTTCCCATTGACCGGTGTCAGGGAGTTTACTTTTAAACAGGACCAATCCCAGTGTTTAGTGGTCTCCCAAATAGGATTTCAATGGGCTGACACCACTTCTGTTCCTTACTCTGGCCCTTGTGTGCATTAAAACAATTAGTAGTGCTTTTTGTCCACATCAAACCTGTTCCTACACAACATTTTGCAAATTTGTTTTCTAATGTACCATTTTATCTTTTTTGTTAGGCACGATGTTGTCTCATGCATACACTTTTCAGTGCTGAACTTATGAAAGATTATCCCTTGATTTAAAATGTTTTCTTTGATTTAGCGCCTTTGCAACTGCTGTTAATCTTAAAAACATAACAATGATGAGACAATATTTCTTTCCCTCACTAGGTGTTAGTTCAATGAAATCAGTTTGTTAGACATACACAAATAACACAACTTTGGCAAAATCTATGGGAGAAATTACAGAACCTTTGTGAAACTATATTTCTGTATTTCCCTCACCATAACCCCTTTTGACACTTGGACCTTCCCATGTGTCAACCTATGATAGTATGGAAATACATATTTTGGTAAATGGCACTTGCCACACTTTGTAAGTAAATGAAAGCCTTCTTCTCTGGAGTTGCTCTGTTCCCTGCAATTCCTGCAAATTAAAAAGGTGTTAATTGCGAGTTAGTCAAAGCAATACATTGTTCAGCTGCGGCCTTCGCAGCTACGTCAGCACTAGCATTGCCCTGTGAGATAGAATCAAGGTTGTTAGTGTTTTTTTTACATTTTCAGATAGCAATTTGTTTGGGTTACAACCCGTTCATGCAGCTTTCCATCACCTGGAGTTTGGAGAAAAGTAGCAAAGTTAATAAAAATGTAATATTTTAACTTTGGTGATAGTATCTTATTACATTGCTGTTGAAAAATTGACACTTCAAGTGTAATCAACAATGTCACGTAATGCTATCACAGCCTTTTCTCTTTGTCTTTGTCGTCCCCATGGTCCTGGATTAGTACTGAGGTCAACTAACCCCTGTTTGTCAACAGTCTGTGTGAATGTCTTGTTACAGTCTGGTAGGCCTATGTCAGAGGAGTCTGAAGAGCTAGCTTTAAGTCAAAAAAAGCTTTCTCAGCTTCCAATTTGTTTGATAAAGCATACAAAGTATGATCTTGTCTTTCTGTAAGGTTTTATTCAAGTCATCCATGAATGGTCTCAATGCCACCGTCACACACACTTGTATGTGAAAGTCCGAAGAGCCTCGATTGGCAGAAGCAGTATGGTTTTATCCCTGTTTGAGCGTCACTCTAACACAGTTACACATTCCTAAGTTCTGGGACAGTAAACAGACAGTGTGGTGAGATGATGGAGGTCCTTGGCTTCTTTGTGAAGTCTCAACATCCCACTGTTTACTTGGATATAGAGTGTAGATAGAAACAGGGCTAAAGGTTATATGCATATAATAGCCTCTTTAACAGTTGCGTATAACAAGCATAACTTTACAATGGGACCATCGACCGGTTCATGGTACACTTAGATTGATCCAGGGGTCGCCGTACATTATTATTATTATTATGATTATTATTAGTTATTTGCATGGTGAGGCAAATCTGCCCAAATATTTTGCATCAAATTCAAATGTTGGTGAACAATAATAGCAAGCCGTCTAGACAATGTTGACCTTTGATGGAAAGCAGAGCTCGAGAAGACACTGAAGCTGCTTTTGTATTTTAGACACTGTGTTTTATAATCTGCTTTAATTAATCTCCTCTGTTAATGTATAGACCAAAGTCATAATTGGCACTAGTTAGTGTTAGTATTTTTCTCTTGGATTGTTAGAGTTAAGGACGTACGAAAGTATCCAAGTGGCTATTATGATGGAAGGAAAACTAGTCAACCGAAGAGAGAAACACTGAATCTCTGAGTTACTCTAGTGTGGGCTGGTTCACTTGACCTTCTCAACGGGCTTCCTGCTTTATCTGAGTATATAAGAACAGGTCTGAAAGTGCACACAAGTCTTGTGAGACCAGTCTTTGTTCTTAATTTGAATCTATGACTCTTCTATTATAAACACCCTGCAAAAATGGCCTGTTATTTTAATGACATTTTCCTTGTAATGCTGCTCTGCATTATTCTTCCCAGTTTTTTAACAGATGAAGCCAGACATTTAAACTGTAAGTAAATCTTCTAATATTAATGCTTTTGCTGAAATCTATTTTCAACATTCTGAAATGCTTGATAATCTAGTTGAAGTATAAGAATTGGAAGGATTGATTGTAATACAAACCAATAGCTAATATAGTTTAAAAGCAAATCCATTTTTAAACCATGTTTGGTTAATTTTCACTTGCATCTGTTGAGGAATTTGAGAAAGGAGATATAACCATGGAAATGTCTGCAGCAAAGTCAAAATTCTTGTGTTTCGTTTAATTTTTTTCTCAACATATCTAAAAAAAAAAAAACACATTAGTGGTGAAGACAGCATAGTTCTCTTGTTCTCATTTCTGTTTTGCTTTAAAGCAAGTCAGTAGTTTTACTGCCAAATCTGACACAGTGATGCAAGTAAACATGCTGCATATAAGGCTGGGGAAGCTCCTGCTCTTGGTGTTGTGAATTGAAAGTAAGGATGCTTCAAATACATAAACATTCTTTACTGACATTTAAAATGCTACATGTAGCACTTGTAAGGTGTACAGAAACAAAGGTTCTGACTGTCAGTATGGTCTAATATATAGCCATCAATCCTGTACTTAAGTACCCTATTATAAGAGTTCTAAAGTCAAAACACTACTTGTATAAAAACACATCAGAATTATCAGCAAAATGTACTAATTTTGCCTGTGAGTGTCTTTGACATAAGATTATTATTACTTTTGCATTATTGCGTAAGTAGGTTTTAACTGTTGTGTCTGGTCAAGGTGGAGCTTGTTTTAACTACTTTATATACACGGCAAGGGTTTTTTTTTTTGTATTTTAAAACCATGTAAGAAGTTTAGAGTGGAAATCACTCTTTGGTGGAACTGCTAACCACACAGACATGTGGTAATTGATTGCTTTAATATACACTGTTCAGCCATAACAATATGAGCACCGATATATTAGGCAGCAAATGAACATTTTGTCCTCAAAGTTGATGTGTTAGAAGCAGGAAAAATGGGCAGTGTGAGGATTTGAGCGACTTTGACAAGGGCCAAATTGTGATGGCTAGAAGACTGGGTCAGAGCATCTCCAAAACTGCAGCTCTTGTGGGGTGTTCCCAGTCTGCAGTGGTCAGTACCTATCAAAAGTGGTCCAAGGAAGGAAAAGCAGTGAACTGGAGACGGGGTCATGGGTGGCCAAGGCTCACGGATGCATGAGGGGAGTGAAGGGTGGCCCGTGTGGTCGGATCTAACAGACAAGCTACTGTAGCTCAAACTGCTGAAAAAGTTAATGCTGGTTCTGATAGAAAGGTGTCAGAACACACAGTGCAGAGCACTCTGTTGCCCTGGTGGTCATAATGTTATGGCTAATCAGTGTATAACAATGCATTGTATTTTAGCTTGTATTAATGTAAAATAATATTAGTTACAGGTTGAGAGTGTGTAATGTCAATTTAACTGATTTACCTGTCGTTATGTTATAACACTGTATACTTTCAGCCACATGCGTCAGAGAACTGCTTATCTCCTCATATCAAGAAAGCCTTCAAATTGTACAAGAAGCCTCACTTCTCTCCAGACAACGGTAATGAACTATTGCATGAGTTGTCAAATTGTCTGCCTGAGTTTTAACTGAAACAATACCTGTCCAAGAAAGGGCAGAAAAAAAGAAAAGAAAAAAACGTTCATTTTGTGTGTCAATTTCTGTGCCCAGACGAAGCACACCCTCGTCTTCCATGCATGTGTTTACATTCCTTCGGCAAACCGAGCCTGAGACCCTGGAGACTTCTCGAGCTGCAGAGGTTTTTCAAACAACTCTGCAGGTCCTAAAGAACAGAGCAAGACAGAGACATAAAAGAGATGTCACGGCACCAGGTAGAATTGCTTTCTTTCATTAAATCCAGAGGAACTCACCTTGAAAAAAAAACACTTTAGAGGCAGTTGGAAATCATGGAGACAAAACAACTCTAACACAACCAAAATTTCTAATTGGTCCACTGCAACTATTCTTACCATTTTAATATTATACCAAAACACTGGATAATTTAAACCATGGCTATAGATCACTAAAGTCCTCATAAAGAAAATGTAAAAACACAAAAGAGGGACATTTGCAATTATAGTGTGTATCCTTTCAGATATCATATGCTCTTAAAAGGGTGGCAAAATGAAATTCCATTTCATTTCTGTAATTTGTCTTTACTGTGTCACTATGCTAGAATTGCTTTCATGGGAGGACGTGGAGCTGATTGCAGAGCTGTCTCAATGTCTTCCCGCAACACATCCAGCAATCTGTCAGCAAAATCATCTTGACAAGTATCGCTCCATAACTGGCCTCTGCAATAACAGGTAGCTAACTGACTTTCTGATTTTTGATAAGTCAAATGACCAGGACCTTATTGTTATGAAGTAAAATATATTGTCTACAGTAGAAGAACCAATAATGCAGCCATAGGGCCCTATTTTATTTGTGCATGCATAAGAAAAGGCACAAAGCAGTAAGTCTAGAGTGCACAGACTCCTATGTGCAGCAAAGTGCAAAATGACTGAATGAGGGGGAACATAAATTGTAGTCAGACAGACACATTCACACAGTCAGTTTTATTTCTACTGTACGTCACATCATGATTGTGTCATATAATTTGCATATACACGGCAAATAAAAATTTAAATATTCCAATTTAAAATTGCAACTTACGAACTTCCATATATGTATGCTTATTTTTCCCCAACTCTGTATGTTTACATACAACAGCAAATTATATCATGATGCATTTGAAGAATAAAACATTTGCTTAAAAGAAAATTGGAAAGGAGGCTGTGACGCACAGGATTTATGGGTTGCTGTAATGACTAATAATAAAACTACTAAGAACAACAAGTTAAAACAGGCCCGTCTGATCTGTGTAGAGGTGTGTGGGGTTATTTTGTAGCAGCCTGGTGTAATTTGCAAGTGATTTAATGAAGGTAAACACATTGGCACTTTACTCACACTTCTGGCTTAAGATAGCTGCAGAGATTTAATGATTTAAAAAGGAGAAGCTATATAAAGAAGCTGTGGACAACAGAATAAGAATTACCCATATTAATTTATTCAGTTGTGTATCAAATGAGCCCTATTTAAATTGGCTCAGTGAAGTCACCAGCTGTAGTCAATCATAATCACTCACAAGTTGTTAAGAGGCCATGCCATGAAGCTTATTTAATTGACACAACTTTCTACATAACCAAAACTGATAATTCATGTTGCTTTATGTATATTTTTGACCCAGCAGATTTGGTCACATTTTCAGTAGACCCATAATAAATTCATAAAAGAACCAAACTTCATGAATGTTTTTTATGACAAAGTAGTATGTGTTCCAATCACTCTATCACAGAAAAATAAGAGTTGTAGAAATTATTGGAAACTCAAGATGGCCATGACATTATGTTCTTTACAAGTGTATGTAAACTTTTGACCACAACTGTAGATACATGCAGACTTATTTACCAAAGTTACTGTCACATTCTGCCTCTCTGTCCTTCCCTCCAGCTACATGCCCACCACCTCAAACCCAATCATTGCCATTCTCTTGCTGTCCACCAGATGCCCTCTGACTTTTCCTCCTGTCCCAGTCACATCACTCCCGCATCCAGCCACTCCCTCCTGCCCTGCAATAACCCCTTTCTCTCCAGTCCCAGTCACCTGACCTTCCCCGCTCACTCACTTGCTCTCCACTTTCCCTAATCAGCCCATAATTACATATACAGGTTCATTTCCACTCCCAACTCTCTGCAGGATTCTAAAACTTGCTTAATGCCTTTGCTTTCTGGCTCTACTGTAAATCTGTTATTTGAGACTTGTTACCTGCCTTTCATATCAAAAAATTTTTGGACATACGTAAATATCCCAATGCTGACTTATTTAAGAAGGTGGCTAAATTATTGAGCGAGGGAAACTGTGTTCTCACGAAACCACAACGAAGACACCTCAAAGGGCATTATTTCACTTATACCAGGATAACTTGCCAAAGAAAAGATTTTCCCAAAACATATGCATTTTGCAATTAAATTCTAAAGTTGTACAAGCCATAACTCCGTTTCCCTGGTAACGTCTTACTAAGTCCTACAGCATGTGTACTTAGAGTCACAGCCTGAAGTAGTGAGCTGGATAAAACACAATATTTTGTGCCTGTAAATGTAGTCAGTGAACCTCTCATCTGTCTGCGCCTCTTCTCCCATCTGTCCATGTGCTTTGTTATGGGCACCAAAAATTAAATCTGCTAGATGAAAGTCCCTTGTTTGTTTGACCCATTTATCCCACCCCAACCTCCTCCTAATGTGGACTTTGTTGCTCTTTATACTTTGTCACCTGACCTTTTGTCCTCCTTTACTCCAGTCATAATTACTACAGGCACTAGAGGTCCCACCTAACAATAAATGTAAATATGGGTCGTAATAATCCGCTTCCACAAGCAACCTATACTGCCGTTTTTCTGGTGAGGTGGGCTGGAAAATGGGGCCCATATCTTTTCTGGGACTAGATCCAAAGTAAACTATGTAAAGTCAATACAAGCATTGGTGAACAAAATTCAAATTCAGACAAATTAAACAAAAGTGAGATGAGGTTCAGAGGCATTTCTCTCCATTTCAGTAATCCCAACCCCCACTGCACCTCCATGCCGCCTTCCCGTCTAAAATGCAAAAGCACATTTTCACTTTTTACATTTTTCAATGTTGGTAGCCGATTCTGTCAAATTGAAAAAGTCTATTTCAAATTCAGCTGCATTTTTATTATAGTAAGAGGTTACTTTGAAATTCAATATCAGTGGAGTTGTAATGGAGCTTCTTTTTAATTTCAAGCTGGCCAAAAATTATGCAGTAACGGTTCCCTACACACAGACGGACTTAGAAGCAGAATAGTTGAAAGCAATCAATCATTTACTTGGTAAGAAGTTCAAGGCAGACTTTGGCAACAGGTAATCAGCAAGGGCAAACAAAGCAGGCGGAGAGCGAGAACATTAGACAATCTGGCAAATGACTGAGGAAAGAGAGCTGGTATATATGCAGGGGAGCTAATGAGGAAATGGGAAACAGGTGTGCTGATGAGTGATGGGAACAGGAGACTGGGAATAAACCTTTTACATAGCAGCCATTTTGACATGAAATAATAGGGTAAATACAGGTGTTACCAATGATACTAATTAAGGCTCAGTTCCATTCAGGTCAGAGTAAAACTTTGATTTTTAAATGAAATAATTTGGAAAATTGAAAATAAAAGTTCTACAGTATTTTAATGAATTATTACATTTTGGAATTAGCAGTTATGAACTGGGTGAAATAGTTCCTATACAGTAGGCTCCCCCATCTCCTAGAAATTACATTTGCAACAGCAAATACATTAATGCAGCCAGGATAATGTTTGTAATCTACACATTTAGGAAACATTGCTAATTAACCTGGCATGTCAAACTGTTGATATGAAAGTTAATTAAATGTATCATTTGTTTCCCTGTAATATTCATTCTAAGCTACTACAGGTTACGGTTGGGGAAATTTCACAATTTTATTTTAATACTGAAAAAGTCCACGATGACTTGAAGCATATTTTCTGTAGTCTAAACCAAAGTGCTTTTGTTACCTAAACCTAACACAACACGGTGGAATGTCAATGTGTCAAAGTCCTGCACTTTCTACATCCACCACTCACTTGAGCATCCTTCCCACAATTCCTGTACGGCACCAAAGCACTGCTCATGTACCAGGTTTTGACAAGACAGAAGAGTGCGTTAAAAAAAAAAAATCACAATATCTGTGGTATGGCTGCATCAATTTTTAATGATTCATCGTGGGTCTGACAGAGTTATGTGTGCGATGGTAAATTGGTTGAATTCTCTTTTAATGTAGACTTTAGCTTCTTCTTTGTCAACCAGAAGCAACAACAATGGCTGATGGAAAAATACCCACATCAGTCACCGTGCAGCATATTCCACCTATTCCAGCATTTTTCCCAAGGATGAAGGACCTTAAGAATCTTATGTTCATAGCAGCACATACTCATGTCCATAAACTGACCCTGAATCACTATTGTACCAGTCAATAATAGACAGTATCAAAATATTTAGCAAACCCCTCAATTAGCTATACATTGGGGGGGAAAAGAAATTGTATTCTAACCTCTTTGAGGAAAATGAGTGATGATGCATTCAGTAATGGCATATACTGTTTTGCATTGCAGTATTTTTGGACATGCTTCATGATTCTTTTTGTCAGGCAAAATCCTCTCTGGGGAGCAGCCAATACTCCTTTGGTCAGATGGCTTCCAGCTGAATACGAAGACGGAGAGAGAGAACCCAAGGGTTGGAACCGTGGACGGCTCCATAATGGATTCCAACTTCCCTCGGTAATCTACAAAATCCTGGTCAGACGGACACAAAAGTCTTGGTGGAGAAATTAGAAATGAAGCGAGCTCACCCGGCAAACCCAACTTAATGTTGCTTTCCATTTATTTTTCGAACCTGTTTTACAGCAGATAAAGCCCACAGCAATTTAGGAACAGCAGAAGTGTGTGCGAGATGACACAGATTACAGTTGCATTTGAATATTGTGGCCTGTGCTTTAAAATACACTATTTCCATAGCTTGAAAGAAGTTGGTTTCCAGTCATGTGGATGCACATTATTTCTTTCAAATAGCAGATAAAACTGCTGATATTTGCATTGAATTTCAATCTTAATTTATGCCCTCATTACACAAAGTGAGATCCTTTAGTGGAAAAACTCAAATATGCATTAGTTGTATCCAGCCGGCAGTTTACCTCCATATATAATATAATATATAGTTATAATTTGTTATAAAGGGTTTTAGAGCATTAATAATCTTTGATCCTAGCTATTCCATGTCTTATAAAAAGTAAAAGTCAAGTAAATAATATCTTGGATACTTGATGCATTGCATAACACATTTCAATAAGTTGCCAAAGTCATTTTTTTCCAGGGAAATTAGGACGTGAAAAGAAGTTTGTCAGAACAAATCACAGCCCGTTTGTTGAGCTTAAGCCATTTATCTATTTATAACATAATTTAATGAATAAAAGAATTAACTAGTTCACAGAAACAAGAAAGCTATCATCCATCATAACCTCTGACTGGGACATGATAGGCCTTCCCCAGATGATGTGTTAATTTATCTTAATGATGACATAATAAACACACTGACTGATAAATCACGGCGGAGATGGCTGGGGGGGGGCAATTGCACAGTACTCACTGCCATCCAATAACAAACCCTACTGTGTCAACAGCCACTGGAAGTCAGCAAGAAAATACTGAGGAGCTCTTCAAAAGAGGAAGATGATGCCTATTCTCACCTGCTGGTGGAGTGGGGCCAGTACATTGACCATGACATAACTTTTACCCCCCAAAGCTCCGGCACTGCTGCTTTTTGGACTGGCGTGGACTGTTTGACTACATGTGAAAATATCCATCCATGCTTTCCCATTGAGGTAAACTAAAAGCACAACACAACACTATGTTTTGCTTACCTGTTGCGAATTATACTTGCTACAATCCTGTTTTTTAAAGGAATAGTTCCAGATTTTGGGAAGTACACTTATTTGTTTACTTTTTGAGATCAATACCACTCTCATATCTGTCCATTTAATGTGAAGGTGAAGCCAGCATGAACTTAGATTAGCATAAAGACTGACTTCCTGGACTTCCTGACTAGTGGAGACTCCAGGAATGTCTTGCTCTTGACCAAGATATGGTCAGGCACATAATCCCTCTGTAAAACTACAAATTGTTGATTTTACACTTCGGTTTCAGTGCAGATTAAACTAACCAGATATAACGTGTTAATAAGTGAGCTGATCTGTGATTTTTATTACCTTTGGATGGAGTCAGGCTCGCTGTTTCTAATCTCTAAACTAAGATAAGCTAACCAGTTGCTGAATGAAGTAAATGTTCTTATCTAACCCGGCAAGAAAGCATGTAAGCATATTTCCCAAAATGTCAAACAATGTCTTTTGAAATTCCATAGTCACAAAAACAAATACATTTGATTTGATTATTAGTAGTTTAAGATGCTATTGAAGCAGCTTGTAATACTTAAATTGTCTTCTCTACAGACGGGTGATATTACCTCTGATGCACAAGGCTGCATGCCTTTTCACCGCTCCGTACCAGCATGCTACGTCAGTTGTGGGTCTGACATTGGACAAGCTCTGCAACGACAACAGATGAATGCAATCACATCATTCATGGATGCTTCGCTTGTGTATGGCCACACCCCAAAACTGGAGTTCTTCCTCCGTGACCTCTCTGGCCTTAATGGGAAACTTGCAGTCAATGACCAATTCAAGGATCCCAAAGGAAGACCATACCTTCCTTTTGTAGCCACTCTGCCATCAGCTTGCCTCCAGGATCCACAAGGGGAAAGAGTGGAGTGTTTCAGTGCTGGAGACAGTCGCGTCAATGAGGGTCTGCCCCTGACCTGTTTGCATACACTCTGGCTTAGGGAACACAATCGGATTGCAGAGGCACTGAATTGCATTAATGGTCACTGGAGCCCAGAGACAATATACCAAGAAACTCGCAAAATTATTGGAGCTCTGCACCAGGTATGTGACAATTTACTAAAATTGTTCCAGTATGCCAAAATAAAAACCCAGTTAAAGGTCCAGTGTGTAACATTAAGGAGGATCTATTGGCAGAAATTAAACATAATATTCATACATACTGTATGTATTCATCAGTGTATAATCACCTTAAAAACTAAATTGTTGTCTTTTTGTTACCTTAGAATGAGCCATTTTTAACTACAGATGCGATGGGTCTCCTTCAGTGGTGGCTGCCATGTTAAACTGCAGAGAAACGTTTTTCGTGCGTTTCATGGCCACTGTAGTTTTTCCCTCACAAGAAGTGAGTTGCAATCTGCAACTACATAGATGCCACTAAATCTTACACACTGGATCTTTAATATCTTTAGGATAAAACTGCACTGTGCTGAGATGCCAAACTAAAAAATGCACACCACAGAAAGTTGCATTTTAACTAGCGCAGCAACTATCTATTATTTGTCATTATCCATTAATGTGCCAGTTATTTTCTCAATTAAATTGTTTTGTCTGTACAATGTAAGAAAACATTCTATGAAGTAAAAATCTAGAAATTCATAAATTTAAAAAGAAAATACCTATCAGAACCTCTAAATTTGACAAATTTGTTTATTTAATCCATACAAAACCCAAAATGTAAAAAGAGTCTCCACTGGTTTCCTGAAGTCACGGCTCCAGTTAAAAAATAGTTCCATCATGTAACTCCCTTTAAAACCACAAATTGTTGTGTTTTCTGATAGGTGAATAAAAATGTTTAAAAAAAAATCTTTATGTTAAGGTAAGCTAACTGCATGCCAGCCCTAGGTTTCCAAATTACATAAATGATTGGTATTGATTTTGTCAACTTACTCTCCCGGCAAGAATGCAAGTAAGTGTATTCCCTATAATCTTCCCTACCATTACATGTTTTGTCTGGCCACCTATCCCAAACTCGAAGGTGTTTGGTTTGCTACCATAGAAAACCCCAAATATACATGTTTGACAAACTGGAAACTGAATTGATTGATTGATTATCAGATTTGTTGCTGATTATTTGTCTGTCAATCAACTGATCAACCAATTGTTTCAGCTCTAATTTTAACAGTTCAGTGAATAGTGCTAGAACTGTTTATACTGTTTAGTAATTCTAAATAACCAGTCATATTTTCTGCCTTACAGAGTAGCCACTGCTTTATTGTTTTTTCCCCCCTGCCAAAAACATAAATTAATTTTACCTTTTACCTGTAAATGTACACCTGTAATACCAAAAATGTCTTAATTTTTGTCAAAACCCCACAGAGGTTTCAAATTAGGTCTAAATATTACTTCCCATGTAGTCATATTCTTAGGGATGGCATGCTCTATATATTGCTGCAACCATCGAAGCATCAATATACCTTATTGGCCGCTGCTGTCTGCCGCCGCTATACATCTGCGCAGACGCCATATTGCAGAGGTCAAGATCTGCTACTGAACAATACTGAAAGATTCAGACTTTACTACAAACATGACTGTAACTAATTTATTTCTGAACTGATTTTTATGAAATGTGGTTTGTTATGTATGTGAAAAACTGAACATGATACTGGTTAATTGTAGTAATTAATTCAGTTGGGGTGAATCTAATCAGCTCTATGCCAAAACAATATACCTTTTAAATAAGCTCAACATCCATGACTACAGTAATTTGTAGCCTACCATGTGTTGATACTTTATACACCACACACACACACAGAGACAGACAGAGATTCCTTGCTTGATAGATAGATAGATGGATGGATGGATGGATGGATAGATAGATAGATAGATAGATAGATAGATAGATAGATAGATAGATAGATAGATAGATAGATAGATAGATAGATAGATAGATAGATAGATAGATTGTTTTCATTTTGTATTTTGCCAAAAGTGATGGTTTGATTTGCAGTGCATCCAAACCATCCAAACACTGCACATGACTGCAGCATTTTTACAAGCGGTGACTCTTGACTGTTTTTTAGCATAGTGCTGATAACTGAATCAGTTCCTACAAGTAACCAGTAACTGGTTCAAATTGTCACATTTATAACAAACCAATTTTCATGAAAACTGGTTCAGAATGAAGTGAGTTATTGTTAACTGGCGGATCTTGACCTCCCCAATATGGCGACAGCACAGATGCACAGCAAATTGAGAATGCAGTATCTACGTTTCTAGAGATGGGTGAATGCAACCAGCTCTGGCAGCCTACAGTAGTTTCCTGCTGCAACCACTGACATCAGAAGATTAAGAATAACAATAATAGCACAATTGTGACAAATTCAAAGGGATGTGGTCTAGGATGTGCACAAGAAAAAAAAAAAAACAGCTCTCTTAGGTTGAGCTGCCCCTCTTGAGAAAATAAAATAAGAACTGTTTTATTTTTGCTGTTCTGGCTGCATAAATACAAGTAGTCCCTAAATGTTGAAGCTAGACCAAATTAAATCGCCATATTATCTAAACCTATTACTTATGTTTATTACTTTTTGATAGGCATGCTTCCTCAGGACACAAAGATGGGATAGCCCAAAGCCATAAAAAAATGACCAATTGCATAACCAATGGGATGTTCTGTGAATAAAAATCTCTTCATATGCTTCAAACAATGCACAGCTTGTCGCATTTGCACAAACTAATCTAAGCTAGCAGGCTAGCTGGCTAACATATACTGTAGGCAGCAGGGTTAGGTGTAGGGTTTGGGTAATTTTTTTCAGGTTAGAGCAACAGCCTTTTACAATGTGGACATCCCTGAATGTGGATTAAGACTGATGCTGATTCTAAAAAAATGTTACCCCACAATCTTACTGTACTGATGCACCATTACAATTACTGCTTCTGTACAGTAGATACTGTTGGTGAAGGCAGGAGACACAGGTGTATGACAAAAATAAAGGCCAATGTGATTCGCAGCTATAACGTTTCCATTGAGGAACACAAATGATCCCTGAGGGGGAACAAACTAATCTAGCATTTATGAGCGTGGTGATTGTACCATCTTCAGATCTTAGAAGTGTGAGCATGTTGCAATTACATGTTATTAAAGAAGGTCAGACTGATATGAAAGATGTAGGGAGGAGTGTTGTTTTCATGTGTTGTTAACAAGATTTTTTTTTTTTTCTATTATGAGGCAAATCATGTGAAGTGTTCACAGTGCAAAGAAAAATGAATCTTGACTGGAGCTTTTTCAGAGATGAAAAAAGGATTCTTGCATATATTGCTGTATCTGTAAATGGCACAGCAACGTTAGAAGTACAGTAAAGCTTTAAATCTATGTGCTGCCATCTACTGAATTCATAAAGCTGGGTTTTCATCTACTTTTCAAAACAGTATATTACCATTTGAAATGTCATAGATTTTTTATATACCTTTTTATTTCCCCTTTTTTGTACATGCATCTAAAAAAACAGCGATAACATTATGACCACCTGGGCACCCTTACTAGTCTGCAGCTACGTAGCCCCATACGCAACATACTGTGACACCTTTCTATCAGAACCAGCATCAACTTTTGCAGCAGTTTGAGCTACAGTAGCTTGTCTGTTGGATCGGACCACAAGGGCCACCCTTTAGCTCCCCACGTGCATCAATGAGCCTTGGCCGTCCATGTCCCTGTCTCCGGTTCACCACTTTTGATAGGTACTGACCACTGCAGAACGGGAACACCCCACAAGAGCTGCAGTTTTGGAGATGCTCTGACCCAGTCGTCTAGCCATCACAATTTGGCCCTTGTCAAAGTCGCTCAGATCCTCACGCTGTCCATTTTCCCTGCTACTAACACATCAACCTTGAGGACAAAATGTTGTTGTTGCTGCCTAATATATCCCACCCACTGACTGGTGCCATTATAACCAGATAATCAGTGTTATTCACTTCACCTGTCAGTGGTCATAATATTATGGCTGATCGGTGTATATTCCGAAGGAAAACTATTAGGACAGTTCTCATTAGCTTTAGCCTCATTAACTCAGAACAGCATCTACAGTATGTCTCAGTTAACTTCTGCCATTTTTTCAAGAGATTCTGTATCAGTATTTATCATCTGTTATCTAATCTAATTTAGGCCATTTGGGGTGAATAATGCTGAATAACAAAACTGATCCGTTATATGCTCCATTAAATGAGTACAAGATGAACCATTTCACAGTACAAACAGTACATCTGAAAACAGCAAGAGAAAAATCTAACATCAGTTTAATAGCTGTTCTGGAGCTTTCGGTCAAATCACTCCATCGCCAGATGCAATTTGTTTAGTTGCTGTGGACTAAGCTGTTATGTTTGAGCCAATATGGATCAGAAGTACTTAAAGTAAGTGGGTATCTACTGAGGAAGATCATTTGATGTGATCAAAAGCTCCAGAGCTGCTACTGAATAGATCCAGTGATCACATTGTTTCATTACTGTTTCAAACGTCAAAAATGAACTTTGCTACTGGATGTTGCCTGGATGGTACAGGAGTATAATGTTGTACGTTTTCAGTGTGATGATCAGACACTGATAAAGATGCTGGCCATAGTGAGTGTGGAGTGACGGCTAGTCTTAGTAACACAAGAATGACAAATGTGACTTGAGCAAGTCACAATAAAGATAAACAGTGAGAAACTGCTTGTTTTGTATATAGGAAAAATTCTACTTATTTAATTGATTCAGAACATTGACCCTGACAGCTGCTGCTTTCAGTCTGTAAGAGTCAGCCAGCCGTGGAATCCACTGCTTTGCCGTCATTGCAAACTCTCAGAGGAATCTTTTGCAAATCACCTCAGTGGTGATGCTTTAGTTTGCAACTATTCCTTCAAGCCCATTATTTACAGCATCTGTAAACAATATTTTCATATTAAGAATGGGTTGCATGGTTACTTGTATGTGAAAGGTGTCACTCATAGTGATAAGCCCACAGAGAACTATCATCCAATTCTGCAGCTCCCCTCAGCTCATTGTATTGGTTTTCCAGACTGCTTCTTAACTTCTTTTAGTTCAGTCTCACTTCTCTCACAGTGTCATTTTCG